GAAAGCTGCTTCATGCCCATCGAAATGAGGCATTGAAATAAGATAGAGTAACTGTGTCGTTATAGGCCTACGATTGCGAAGTTGAGAAGAATATGATGGAGTATGCAAAGAAGTGCATAATTAAACATAACCCGAAAACAGACAGGAACTATTGGGATCAGAACCTTTAGGCGACCGGCGCACGTAACATGAGCAAGACCTATGCTGCACAATCGGTTAGACTTTTAATAGAGAGAAATGACATAAAGTTTGAGGCCGTCGCTGGTTGCTTTAGGAAATATGGAAATATAGGTACACAGCGAACAAAAATTTCACCGAAGAGGCATGGAGAATGGCGGGCACTACTCTGAGGTGGTAATGGAATCGTTAGCTGCACAGTGACCTAATTTACCTTTGAAGTTTGTTCATTGCAGGCGATTTGCAAACGAGTGACAAAATTGGTTGCGCAGTTGTGTGGTGCACAGGCATGACAATGGTGGGATGCGAATACAACCCTGGGTAAGTGTATCGAATAGCAGTAGCAATATGCCCTTGTTCTGCAATTCCAAAATAATTAAACTGGGAAACTGGCAAAACCACATAGCTTATGGAATAGGAGATCCGTGCACAACTGATGAAGATTGCCAATGCACAGGCTGGGATTGTAGCAGAGATGAGGGCCCTCTGCATTCCTCCAGGATACATTCGCCTCCATACGGTACCCACTACAACGAGAACTACGACATCAACGACAACGACAACTACCACCACAACGACAACAACTACGACTACAACGACGCCACCTTACGTTGGAGAATTACCCGATATCAAGTCAAGTTCGTTCGCAAAGAGCTCTAGTTTAAAGTTTTCGTTTAGCATGAAACCGTCTTTTAGTTGTGACGTGCCCCAGACTTGGTGATGGTATGACGGATGAGGCTAGACAGATGTTCGCCAACAGGCAGATTAACTATCGGTAAATTTTTTCGAGGAGACAAGCCATTGATTGGAATGATAAACAGAAATCATTAAGATTGCTCATAGCCAGTGGACGAGCCAGGAATAAACTTGGAGGATTCGCTCCGGAAGCGGCTAGAATGATGAAAGTGGTACGACTCTATCATGACTCTATCTATCGTAACAAGATAAAGGCTGCAGAATTGAATATGGAGCACAACTGCGTTTTCTTCCAAGAATACTGTCACCCTCATTTCTGTGTGTCGACGCCTTCTTCAACGAGTTATGGAAAAAGTGGTGTACCCCATAATAATGTTTTCATTAACGAAATTTTCACGCGAGGAAGTGAATGCAGTCAGGTAGGAGTAGAACTTTCAGCAGTGTGAACAAATAGAGAACAGCTGTCTTTATTTCTGCTTCAGCTGGCCTGACAAACTAGCAAAACATTTGGTTTTGCAGATGTATCTTGTTGGAATGCCTGCACAGCTGTAGTATGCGAATACAACCCTGGGTAAAAACGAGCTTCCTCCGATGAAACTTCTTTGCGGGACATATCAACCTGAAGGATTGAATCCTAGATGTGCCAAGCTCTCTCATACGATTTATGACATTGAGGATCCCTGCACAACTAATGAAGACTGTCCAAGCGGTTGCATTTGCAGCAAAGACGAGGCTCTCTGTGTTGCTCCTTGATTGCTTTGCAATGGCTCTTTGGAGAAAGAAATTTTTCGTTCGATTGTTGTTGAAAATAACTTCAACTTCCATAGACCCTCTAGCGATACTTTATTCAATTTTATGTAAAACACACGATAAAAACCTCAACAAAATAAAGCGATAAAAACTATTGTATTCCTACTTTTTGCATTGTTTGCTGTATGACAACATCTATAACGCTATTAATCACTACTTCAATCTGCCTTGTATCTGTTGCGCATGTTTCATGAATGTATATGCTTCGCTTCAGATTCAAGTTCTGCTGCTTAAATTTCTTCGTGATATAGTCAAGGGCTGGACGATATTCCTGAGGACCTGAAATAAAAACAATTGTATGCTAAATGAAAAGCCCGACACATTTTGAAAAAATTACCTTTGTAATGCTTCAAAGCACATGTAATATTGACCCGTTTGATTTTATCTGCGAAAAGATCGATTTTATTGAGAAATAGAATCATAGCCGTATTAGAAAACCATTGATTATTGCATATTTGACCGAATAGTTCTATCGAATCTTTCATGCGATTCTGAAATGGAAAAAAATGTGATGAACTGGCACAAAAAATGAGATTCACTCTATTCAACAAGATTCAGCTTACTATGCGCAGATGCTGACAAATTTTATTGTGACCAGGAAATCAGGACCACAGTAGCGTCAAGTCTCTTGAATATAAGCTCAGATGTCAAAACCGATACCAGCCCAGATGAGCTACGTTTCCCATCTCTCCGAAGTCGGACCACTGGCATAAGTGGTTGCAATGGTGAGTGGCGTGTACTACTACACACATGGGACAGGGAGTGAAGCCTGGGTTGACAGTCGCCTGAGCAAACCTAGCCTTACATCTCTCCGGGGTCGCTTGATGGGGTTCATTTCCGTCTGGGGGGTTAAAAGCACTGACTTGTACATCAGCAGTCCTATGCGAAATTTCAGATCACTTTCCGCTCATGAATACCATTACGATTATCAGTATAAGTCAAATGCGTAAGGAGCTTGACGTTGAGGCCACGAGGGCCTATGTTACGTAGACAAACTATATTTTTGATCACAACTTAATTGATTTGATATTGATAACTTTCTCTACACGTCGGCTCTCGATGAACCTCGGTATATTGTTGAAATGACTTTATTGATGTAACTCCACACAATGTTCACAATAACCTAATATCTTACGTTTCAGCTGAGCGACGAAGAATCGGCTCTCTCGAGTTGGACACTTTTATCCCCAAATTTGGGCCTCAATAGGCTACTGAACTCCTAAGGAGTACGGGGGTAGAAGTCTCAGGAACATGAACAATCCACAGCTTCTGTCCGTCAAAGTATGCCAGATAAGTGACGCTCGAACGGAAAATTCGTTACGCGCTGTCAAGTGAAAAATAGACAATATCAAGCGAATGTGTGACGTTGGCCTCCATAGGCCTATCTAATTGATATAATAGTTTAGAAAGGACGGACGCTTTGGAAACGAATGCGCTGTACGGATATCATTGTATTCCGCTACTGTAATCTGAGTCATTTCGTGTCCTGATGATTTCGCATGATTCACATAGAGGTAAGTTTCCCCTTTATACGATGTGACGATGTGATAATCCCGCAGCCTGTNTGCATTCTGAGGTCGCATGTTCATTGCGAGACTAGTAAGTGTTAATGCTCACTCACCGCTCGCGGGGAATTAGGATAAGGATCAGTTAATTTTTGTCTCACCGAGCACTTTTTGCCAACATGTGCGGGTTATTAAATGGGCCTTATTACTTTCTAGACATGGAGAGCGCTATATATCGTATCTTGGAAAGTTGATAAGAGCTAAGAATAAGTTCAGAATAATTTGAAATAAAAAACTCACAACTTTGTTGTCCTCGGCGAGATTCTGATTATATTCCGATAATGAAGTTATGAACAGCACAGCGTGGACGTCATCGAATATATGGATCCATTTTCGACGTTGGGCCTTCTGCCCACCAACATCGAACACTCTTAAGAACGTTTAATTTCGATTGTTTCACCGAATAGAGTTCTTTGTGAACTTACTTGAAGGTAGTGTTTTTGATAAGGAAAGTGAACTGTACAACGCCTGTCGTCGATACTCTGCTTCTCAAAATATCCTCGTAGGAAGGGAGGTAGTCTTTTTCTCGTATTCTTGGTAATTCCCGGAGAAAGCTGAAGACGAATGTGTATGATTGTGAAAAGAGAAGTCGATTATCAGCTGCGCTCAACAGCTTCGTCTCGATTAGGATTACTATTCAGTAATGATGAAGGGAAAATCGCACAAGTGACCAACGTACTATACTGAATTTTCTTCAATACCGAGATCGGAGTTATGCTGGAGCACTTCCTGTACAGTAGCGTCATCCAAAAGTCTGAAAATGGGAGATTCATTGGCTCTCGTATATTGTCATCTCATTGTGCTGAACATAACGTTACAAATGTGGAAGTCGCCCATTGCCGTGACAGTGGTTCAGAAGATTCTTCTCAACCGCGACACTCTCAGAGTATAAACGATATCAATCTCACTGGATCGACACCCTCTCAGTTCTTGCTTACTCGATGGGCTTTAATTGTCGCCCAAGCAAGCGATATCTTTAAAAACAGTTCTAGAGCACCTTCTTAGAAATCTGAAGGCGTATTTTTGTATAATGAGATAGTGATAATGTGTGATACTCAAGGACTAGAGTGTAGGTGGCTAAGTAAATCATGAGCAACTACCCAAAAGAAATGAGAAATCGTGAGATGAGATCTTCGCTGTCGTAATCCGGACTGGAAGGACTGGACATGGATACGGAGCAGTGAAGAGTTCGAACGAGTTTCGTTGCTGATACCAAGTCACGTCTAACCATACCGCCGATTCCCATTATTACCTGATCCCTATGAAGATTTGTCCACATATACATTCGGACTGACCCTCCCGTTAAAAGGTGGTGCCACGAGTGGCAGTATTAATCCAAAACAAACTTTCAGGGCAAATAAAAAGCATTTGATCGTTCAAAAGCTCATTGAATCATCAAAATTCACTTTGTGAGCCATAATTTCGTAAGAGCTCTGAAAAATAACAAAGTAACCTTACTTACATACCGCGTAATCGCATTAGCCACAGCATTGGTGAGTTCAGCAGCCTCGCTGTTCCTCACCTCTTCGTAATACTTCGTTATTATTTTCGCGAGCTCCTAAAACTAGCAACTAGTAATACTCTCAGGCATAGACTCTCACAAACCTCGGAGTCAGGGTTCTGATAGCTTTCCCCTAACTGTGGTATTGCATTGATGACCTCCACCATTCCAGCGATCAGATTCAAATTCACAATATATCGTCGTTGTCGTTTCTCGTTGTCAGAGAAACCTTCGTCGTGAATTATTCTATAACCGAGAAGTACAAAGAAGGATGCTAGGGTGCAGAGAAAATCTCTCACCTCATCTGCTTCAGTGTGGTGCTTTTACCCGAATCTGCTGGACCTAAATAATATGTGATTAAAGCCTCCCTTCAAATGTTTTTAACCGGCATCCTAACTCCTCCGCGTTCAATTTTAGATACATTTCACAATATCCGGAAGCTAAATCTTCATCAAGCATGCTGCCATTGCTCAATCTCATTCAAAGGCAGAGATTATGTTCAATTTGGTCTATGGTTAATGGTTTTAGGAGGTAAGCAGGAAAATAATATCGAGAACAATTTTGCAACTAAAGTCTCTTATAATTTTTCAGTCCCCAGCCCACATCTGAGAAGGGGTTCATTTATGAGACATGTTTTGTTTGATTTTCTTGCCCGTCAGTAGAAAAANAAAAATCAAAGAAAAGCACAAATTCAAATCAGGATCAGGAATTTAAATCGGGAACCTTGAAAGCTTGACACCTCAAGAAAGTTGGATAACTCACTGCGGTACTCCAAGGGGAAGGTGAATTTGCAGAGCAGTAAATTACAGATTGTAAAAAAATTCTCAAAGGTCTAGATTAAACTCGAGTCGAGAAAAAAGCCTTACAACTAAAAGAGGAACTTTATTTGTGATTAATGTAAGCACATCAAGCTGTACCTAACAAAAGCAACTTCAGTGTCGTTTTCTTTTTTTCCTCCTCGATTTCTTTCTCAATCGCTCGGCTGATTTGTTCTTGATGCATCTGGAAATACAGGGAATTATCCAATATTTCTTCGAGGTGGCTTGAGTGAGATCCCAAGGAGCTTGTCCCCCACACCCGTTCCCTTCATTGAGCAAGATCACCTCAGCAAGTGCCCAGGCAACTTTGGAAAGAGATAACATGGAACATGTCATGGACGCCCCTGCGGACCAAGTCCGAAGCCTTTTACCTGAGCAAAGTGTGGAATTCATCAACTAGCACTGCATCTCAGAATACAGAGACGAACGCCTACGATACCACCTTCAACTGGGCTCCTCTACGTGGTCCCTTGCATAGAGCTCTTATTCCCCCTCACTTGATTTCAGTATCAGATGGCAGACTTACCACTAATGATTTGTCCATGGCATCATAGCTTGTCTCTGAACAAGCGTTGCCCATTGACGTGGAACTGGGATTGCCAGCCACCTATGGTCCAGAAGCAGTTGAACTTTTGTCTAAATGAAACTAATGAACTCTACTCTCCGTTGTACGAATTGATGTGCACTCCGCAAACAACTAACGGGTAAAAATCGCGTGACTGGATAAAAACGGATGGAAATGAGTGCGTAAAATCAGTGTTTCGACTAAACTGACGTCCTTTTCAAACTGCAAATTCCTTTTTCCAAGAACTATTCGGAAGAAAACTTCAATTAGGTGCTTTAAAGTCAGAAAAGTATAGTGTAAGTAAAGTAAGTATATATCACTTGCAAGAAATTCAATTGAGTCACAAACTATCACATTTGATACACGAAAATTAACCAAATAGGTAACTGGTTCAGCCTCTGCTTTCAACGAAATAAGCCATTGAAATGCCGTTGATTAGGTCACGAGCTCTTCCTAATACTTTACTATTAGGTTACGTAGCAGACCATGACCTTTCCTCAAAATTAATTTTCTCTTCGAGTTTGATGATATGACGATTTCTATGAATCAGACCTTTTTTCCTTTGCCTTCTAACACCGCTTAGTAAACTTTTTGTGCTCATTCCCTACATTTTCTTTTTATTTGCCACATGTTTCTACAGTATTGTAAAGGTACAGGCTTGAGTACAAACCAACACTCTAGGGTGTTCAGTCGGCAGCAACGAAGTCATTAAAAGGATAAAAGGATGAAGCCCCTGGGGATGGGGCCATGGGACAATACCGTGCAAAAGATGCGCCAACGCATTCGACTCCCACTCAGAATCGTAGTGGCGTATTAATGCGTATGTGGCCTATACAATGATTGGTCAGCCGATGTCAAGTCAGGCAATGAAAGTATTACTACACAATTTTTTTCTTCTTTTTTCTTTCTTTTTTTTTCTACGTATAAGTTCAAGCCCTTTTTCTCACGCTCTACAAATTTTTCAGTACCTCTTCTGTGGAAATCACAGGGATTGTCGCCTTAGCTCAGCAGGCAAACTCTGAACACCAATGGGAAGACATGTTTCGGAAATAAAGGCAGGGTTTGTTGCAACCCAATAGTTAAATGTTAAGAAAAGACCTTGTTGTGAGTAATTGACACATCTGGGATGTTCATCTGCACGAAAAGCGAGAACTAAATGGGTGGCCGATTTGGTTGATTTTCTCCGAGTCAACCTCCCTTTTCTTAGGCCCTAGGCTCCAGCTACATCATAGCTATTCTCCGAGACAATAATCCATTTTCTAGTACACAGAAATTAATCTCGAATAGTTTACGACATGACGTAAAAAGGAGTAATGGTACAGGAAGGGTATCAGATCGAAGTGAAACGGCATTACCGGCATAGCACCTCAGCAACAGTGAGGGACACTTGTACGTCATGTAATCAGAGGTGGCAAAACGACAGTTTAGTTTGAGAATACTCAGAATACTTGGGAATAACATACTTGAGAGACTGCAATTTTTCAAACAGCAGTTTCCAGTATGTGATGCAGTGTCTACAAGTGAGAATGCATGAGTGACTATGAAAACGACGCTTAGGTACATGGGTTCCATGTCCAGTGAGCTAAATCCTCAGAGCTCATTAAAACAGAAAAATACGTGAGGCATAAACCGAACAATTCAGCAGAATAAAAAACACTCATTGATTATTTTTTGCGGCTGATTGGCCAGAAACATAATTGAGATACCATCTTGTTCTGTCTGTCCGGGGATGTATCAAGCCCATGTATCCTTCAGGGGTTACTCATGGTGTATAGGTGACGAGAAGATTTATTTTTCAGTGCCTCTTTTTCATTTTTAATCAGGATAAAGGATAAAGTTTTGAGGCGTCAATCCCGTCATCCCGTTCGGAGAGATGCGCCCACGCATTCGACTCCCATTCAAGATCGTAGAGGCGTATTGAATGCATATGTAGCCTATACAATAACCTGCTGGGACCAGCCGATGTACATTCACTCGCTTTATCCCCCCGACGAGTCTGGTACCAATAAACTGACCTCGGAGTGACGGAAGGCTTGATTGATGGGTGTGGTAACTCCTGCCCAAATGGCGTGTTGGGCGTTCGCGCGCTATGAGGGGAAAGATTTAACTTCATTGTGGATGGATACTGCAGTCGCCGTGGAATCACTCTCGCTGGCCGTGGAAGTTCCGGGAGAAGTTCTCTAACCCTGACGGGTTACGGTTCTTGCTCAGTTTGCCCGAAACCTGCTATCATTCCATAATTTTCGCGACGAAGCCTACTATATCGCTAAATAGTAGTTAGCGTAGAAAAAACATTAAACGAAATCAATAACTAGCTAGCCAAAACAAACAACGAAATTTGTCATTTGGCGGCATAAATGTGAACATAGAGGAGAAGAAGAAGAGAAAATCATCATAGCTCCCATCCCGTTATTCCTCTGAAGAGTTGCATGTAGAACGTCGGGGACAATGTGTATTTAAAATTACGTATCGGCTTCCTTTAACAGAAAATATCATATGCTACGTTATTTAATGAGGAAGCATTATAATTCATTTTTCACACCTGACGCTTCTATTGTCTTTCAGCTTATGGGCTTTACATTTCATTAATGCTTTGTTTTGAACAGCTATTGTTTCACATAACCATTCCACGCGTGTTCGCAACCGAAAGCTTTTAACAAAATAAGTTACGTAACAATAGGTACTTCCTTCTCCACTTTGTACCTACATTAGCCGTGAAAGAAGTGACAGACTTCACACACAAAGAAAGTTGAACGCGTAAAAGGCCACAATCCCCATATACAAGCGTATTTCTTTTTCATGGACTTTATGGATTTTCAAATGTCAGAAAAAATTAAAAGAGCAATTCAAAATCTATGAGCTGCTGATTTCATAGATGCACCACGAAAGGAATCCCTTTTCCATGTAAATTTTGCTCTAACAATTATAAACTTAAAGAGAAGCAACGTTTTTCATTCAATGGTGGATTCACACCTTCTACTAAGTTGGATGTTCTTCTTGTTAGCGCCACTGTCCATAAATTTGAATGGGCTTAACGTAAACAACAACAACAACAAATAAAGGTGATGCCATCGTGAATGATAGCACACAGCACAAGAGCTGTTCCTGCAATATTGGCATACATCTAACATTACGATGGAGAGTAGCAATAGCCGTCAGCCCAAAGGACAGCTCTCTATTGAGGCAAAACCTAATAGCTCCTAGATAACAATGTTATAGTTTTTTTCTGATACAACCTCTAAATAGGAAATGATTAATTTTCTATCTAGAGTAGTAATACTTTTATTACGGATAGGACATTGTTATGGAAACGCTAGCAGATCACAAGATGAATACGTCATGAGTGATGTTTACTAGATCGCAGTTGGAAATGCTTTGCCACGAAGTTTTCAATCTCGACAGCATGACCGAGAAAACTATTCATAATTCTAGCTTTGAGGAAATTACGGTTTTTTCGGGCTCGGTACGGTAATAAAAATACTTATCAAATCCACGCATTCATCAGCAAGACAAAACTTGCACTGCATAAGCATAAAGACAGTACCTTCGCTGAAAGACTGCTAAAATGGGCCCATGTTTTTTTTTNTTTTTTTTTTCGCCACCAAATCCTCTGTAAATATGAATCACTACATTTATGTGTCTGTTTGTCAAATTCCCGCTGCAAACGCAAGTGGTTTTACGGTAATTACCGTATCCTCCCACTGGGAACCCTCTTCATGACAGCCCGCGAATGTGCTCGGGTGCGATGATGAGTGTGCAATTCCAATTGGGAGCGATGAGGGAAGTGATATGGAATGGCAAGTCTGCCGTTAGGGTTGCAATGATCTCCTAATGATTAGTTTATGCCGTCAAAGACTATGAATCATAATTTACCTTTTTTTACCCAAGAAACCAAATTTGACTTCTTGAAATAGCTGGACGGATATGGAAAAAGCAAGGTAGGCAAGCCTCCACAATGACCTGGTAGGTGACGACAAATCAGCTTGATTCGCGATTATTATTTAATAATTTCCTGTAGTTGAATCTGAGCGCAATTTTAAAAGTAAATGTTTTCAAATAGCTCCGTACTTTGAAGTACCTTCTACTTCGAACTACTTCACTTTTGATGCATGATCTCTAGGAATGACACATAAGGGAAATTTTGGAGCCAGTTCGAGGAATTAATGTCGTATCAACTAAATTTGGTGGTGTGCAGTATGAAGAACTTCCCACGTTATTCTTGGGCGGGCTTGCTACCCGATTGGTCGCTGTATCCGATCGTGCGCTGTGATGGGAGGTTTCTAATCTGACCCGAGGTGGAAGGTTACGTTACTTTACGTATTCCTCGAGTATTATACTCAAAATTCAACCCAGAGAATATCTACATTTTCGTAGTGATTCATACTCTGAACTCTGATGGCTTTGATGTTTATAGACCATTTACCTGAGTAATTTATGGTCAGTAGTAAATAAATGTAATAGTGTTTACCCAAAATATGCGAAGTTACGTAGTTGCCAGCCTAATACAATCTGTAATTCTGTCAGTTAACACTGAATACATCTTTCATCCGAAGAATGGCGTGAAAGACTTTCGAGAATTGTAATACTGCGCAGGCAGAACCATTCAGACTTCTGTCAAA